CTATATTTTTTTTCTCCTATATGTTATATTTTTGTTATCAGAAAAAATAAATAGCGTTCTTATCTGTTTCTGTATTTCAGATAATGAACTAACATGCAGTCCATCTTGCTGTGATAATAATAAGAGTATTTAACTCAGTGAATGTGCAGAGAGAAAAATCTAAAAGTAACTTATTTATACACTATGTCACTTCAATATGACATTTATATAGGCAAATTCCTGACTTTTTCTTGTGTATTGACCGGATATTCTAACAATAACTTCATAATTAGTCTGAATAGGAAAAAAGTAACAGTGCAAATTTCAACTGTTTGTTTCATAGGAGATAGTAATCGGAAATAAAACTAACGATTCATTTATGAGAGAAATATTTACATTGTGTTTAATTACACGAACACATTTAAATCACAAAACTCATTTTAAGTCAAAAAAATCAAGTTTTCTGCTTCCCCCTTGCACGGCTTCCGAGTCGAATATATCAAGAGAATATTAATTTCTTGAGTTTCTCCCTGTGATAAAAAATAATATTTTTGTTTTTATTTCGGTGACTTTTATGCTTCCATAAAATTTTAATACACCATTCTGTAAAGCTAATTGAACTCTATCTTGCACACTCTATCTCATAGTTAGTACAAGCAAGTAGACGAATCGTCCTAAAAAAAAATATTCGAATTGGTCGTCAGCTTTACTTTCATCAGAAACTCATGCAATTTTTTGTATTTTCTTTTCTTATCAATCTTTTAAGCAGTTTTTCTCTCTTCCAGGAGAATGTTTAGCATATTCCTTCGTACTGTTTTTTATCTAAATCTTCTTCATTAAAATGTCAAACAGGTGTTTTATAGATTATTACTTTTGCTTTAAAAAATTGAAGTTATATTTCGATTTATATATTACAAAAAAACTAAAAACATAAAAGAAACAAATATTAAAACAGAATTCATAATGTTTTAAATTTATCAATATCGAGAAATATAATAATAGAGGGCACTACAAGTTGTACTTTCGGTATAGATTGGCTTGGACGTGTGTCTTTGTCTTTCGTGCTGGCGTACTGAACGCAATTATATATAAAGAAGAAATTTCCATGTGTAGAATTAAAATTACAAATTAGGTCAGCGGTAAACACTCTTCTTGCTCAAATTACATTAACACAAGATATGTGTTCGACTCAAAATAAAGATAACTTAATGCGTGAAACTATTCAATCTAATGCAAATGATAAAATTCGAGTAAGAATTTCTATTTTAAATCATGAAAAATAGAATTGTTTTAATTTTTAGTTACTTGACGATTTAATTGATCAAACCGCAAACTTAGATCAATTAATTGAATATCATAAAAAACGATATTTAATATATTATGAAGTACATCGATATAAGGGTTAGTTAAAATCATTTAAATTTGTTCTAAACTCATTCTATTATTTTAGATGCTTTACATGACATTGAAACTTTAGATCAATACGGCTACATAGATGAAACATTATTAATGATAAAATGGTATGTCATTTTGTTGTCTTGTTTATACACATGTAAATAAGTATTTTGACAGGATATGCAGCATTCATTTTCACACGGAAGAAGTTCGTAGTTCGATCTTGAAAAATCTCAATGTGGAAAGTAAGACTCTATTTTCGACATGATAGATATACTTACAAACTATTTGTTTTAGTTGTGAATAACGTTGATGAAGCTATTAATCTATTGAATTGCATAAGTGAAGCAAAAGTGGACAAGTTCATTCAACGTAAGTTTCCATAAATGATATACGATGATTGTTTAACAAGACTTTTTATTTTCAGATAATTCCAAAAGCCGTTTATCCAAGAAAATCAAACATTTAAGTCAAGAAAACTAGAAAATGTGTCATACTATGATGTGTACTGCTCGTAAAAATTTGACTATTTATTATTTTTCTTGTTTGTATTTCATGTCTTATTGTCATATAGTTCAGTGTTTCTTTATTCTTGTATTCGTGATTAATTTTTGATTCTTTTGATTATTATAACATATAACTGATATATGAGTGTGTTGTCATCAAGCGCCTCATATGTAATGGTTTAAAATCAAAAGAATCATTCTCATTGTAATGAAAATAAAAATTAATTTATAGAAATCAATTTATTATAGCAACCATCGAAATCGATTAAGAGAAATAAAATCTCAATAGTATATCCAACATGACATTTTCGTTTTCTACAAGGTATTCCACCAATTGATCAACAATCAATAACAATTAAATTGAACACGAATTATTTGATATTTCCAATTGGGTTTATTATAAATATATTTTCATAACATTTTCAAGTTCAATTGCTTATTAATGTCAACTAATAGCATAATAAATACATAGTTTTGTCGCACATTATTCTTTCAGAAATAAATTATTTATTTATAAAATGAATTAAACTAAAGTTTTATTATTGATTGAAGCAAATCGAAAACCTGATAAAGATTTCTTCGTAGTTCAAACAAACAATAAAATGAAATTTTTCATTTGAATACACATCAGAGAAAGGATATTATTGATTTAATATTCATATCCATAGGAGTTTTGATGGTAAAAACGTATGAAAGAGTTATGATTTTAATTTTTTTATAAATTTTCTAATTGGTTTTTCTGTTTATATCTTTACAAACGTCTTTTGCAATGAGAAAATTTCTCATATTTCTTTTTATTTCTTTTTTTTATATTGAATATTTTTGTTAAAACATCAATAAAATATTTAAAATAGCTCATTTTTGCCTTGATGACAGATAGGTCGAAAAACTGAATCATTCTTGCATTTCTATAGAAATTCATAAAGATGTAATACAAAACTTTCTGAATTTTTATCAATCACATCATTGTAATCATATGGTTCTTTTCTTATTCTCACGATTTACAAGAAGAAATATTCGACTAAGAAAAAATTATAATTATTATAAGACTGTTGAAAGCTATTTTATCAATGTCAATAGAAACAAAATTTACTGGAAGTTTCTAAGCAAATATGAATCAGTTAAATAGGCGAAAGAAAATATTTTTGTTTATCTATTTTATTTTTATTGAAATATATTTTTATCTTTTTTTTTGGCTTCATTATAATTAAATAAATCAAACACAAATTCTTTCTCACGTATGCAACAACTTCTATCTAACGTTTTAAATGCATTGAAAGATCAGTGATAAGATCAAGATTTATTACGCTCTTTTCTTGTTTTATTTTTTCCTCAAAGACAATACTTTTGTGATCAATATATGAAAATATTTACAAAAAAAAGCACTAAATATGTAGTTTCTCAAGATGATTAATAAAAAAGTTTTGTGATAATTACTATGTTTGATATTTCTGATTCCATTCTTTCTTCTTGATGAGAATAAATTATGGAGAAACAGGAAATAATAATAAAATCTTTTATTAGTATGTTAAATATAATAGTGACCATTACGTAGATCTTGTAAGTCGATATAAAGAAAAAAAAAGAATGTCGCTACTAGAGATAGAATTTTTTACTTTAGAAATACTTCAATAAAATAGTTTAAGTTAAAATACTACTAGTTACTGAAACATTTGAAGATCAAGTATTTATTTTCAACTTGAAATATTAAAATTAAGCCAAAACAATTTAATATTTAACATTAAGAAAATGAAACTTTAAGTAATTGTATTGAGAACATTTTCTGCTCTTACGAAAACACAAACATATTTTTGTTCGAATTGATCTTGAAGAAAGAACAAGTCATTTTAGGTGACTGATTTTCTTTAACTTTAATTTTTTTAAAGTTCAATCTTTAATTTGTATTATCTTAGTTCTTGTTGTTAAATCGAAGTTACAGTAATAACTCGAAATACAGACAAATCAATTTAATAGTTATTAACTAACATTAACTTTGACACAAAAGATCACAAGCATATGATACTTTAAGAGTTATGTTGATAATTTGTTGGATTCTTTATTTCTCAACTATTCATTTTAATAGAAAATACAAGTGTTAACATTGGCTTATATATTCGTGACTGTTCTACGCTAATTTGTTTCAGAATTTTATAAACTGGACTTCTTCAAAATTGGATCAATTTTATAATTTAACAATAATGTTTTTATTCTTGTTTTAGTTTTTTTGTTGGAATTATTTTCATAAAATTATTTAAAAAAAAATTCTTTTAACCAAAGAAAACAATAATCATCGTACACATTCTTAGTACAAGAAACGTTTGTATTATAAAAACGTTTTTGATAATGCATCATCATTTTTTGTTCTCTTTGTTCACATAAATCAATTATACTTATAAATAAAAGATTGGCAATGATTTCTAAATGAAATAGATTTATAAAGAAGCTCATTCACTTGTGATGCCACATCATTCTTCGAATTTTTCATTCGTGAAAATTAATATTAAGTGGTACATAGATTCCCATCAATAGTCTATAGACGATTGCCTAGATGATAATTCTAATAAAGATTAATTTTCAATCATTTGAAAATTCACTGAATGAACGCTTTCCAATCTTCAATCATTAGAAGATGATGGTATCAAATAATAAATCGAAGAACTTGTTCGATATTGAATATGTATCTCTTCATGCAAATCAATTTTGTCAATAATGAAAAACATGTTTCAAATTTATTTTTGTCAACAACTTCCATGAAAAAAAAACACTTCTACAGAAATGTATGTTGAATGCATTTTTTTTAACCAAAAACACACGAACCATTTGAGAGCGCAGCTGTTCACTATGCGTTTTATTAGTACATAATAGAAGTCTTTTCTTCCGACAACAACTCCTATCGGTTTATTCTACGTTTATGTCCATAGTCCTTCCAATAGGACTTTATAAAATATTCTCTTAGTCCTTGATGATTATATGTAGTCTTATCTGAATACTCTTGCATTTATGTGGATATGGGGTGTGTATGGTGTGAGTGCAGATGTCTAATAAAGAGATCGCAAGAACCAACACCTACACCTTCAAAACAAGTTTAATTCATATTCCTTTCCTAAAAGAGGAAATAAACAATTGAACAATGTACTTTGGAAAAAATAACAAGGTTGATCTTATTTTTTCTAAGAAAATAAATATACCATTCAAAAAGAAGTTTTTGAGAAGAAGTAAGTTTGATTACATTCCTTTCTTTGGTGGCAAAATAAATATTTTGAAACCAACACTTGATGAATGGAAGCATATCTGAAGGATCCATTTTGAATAAAACGAAATGAATAATCGAAAACTGGTTACCAGTATAGAAAAGTTTAGATACATTTCTTCACGTGAGCTAGATTGTCCTGCTATATTTATAGTTTGTCTGCATGTAAAGTAAATAGCTTCAGATATTGTTCCTTAATAACTTTAGCATCAAAATAGAATATGAAGTTTAACTATAAAAAAAGCAACATTAAGTTTCCTATTGAACATCTCCAAGTCTTGATCGAGTTTTTAAAATGTTTATATTACTAATTTTAGTTTTAGGAATTCATTTTGGCGCAAACGTCCAAGTAGATCCATAAACGAATGTTGCGATATATAGAATAAAGTTGTAAGTAAATTAGAATAAGACATAGAATATTGTACTAACCAGTACAAATTATACTAATAAAACGTCATACCAAATATGAATTTGTTTCGAAAATTTTTAATACATTACGGTGAAGGATGTTTAGTTTATGTGCTTTCATTGTCGAAGGTGACATGATTGTCATTTGGTTAAGTTAAATCTCTTATAGCTTCTTGTTATAGACCATTTATTTTATCATTCGTTATTCACATTTGCAGTTAATTTTAGTTTTATCTCATAATTATGATTCAATGAAGTTTATTTCACGATCATGCATGGTTGAACAAGCAAGCCAGCTCAACAAATTTGATTGTAAAAGTACGACTTTGATAGAACTCAATCATCAGATGGTTATATTTCTTAGATTCAATTTTATTCAGTATCTACTGAACATTCGCATACAACATACATAGCACACAAAAAGAAAGAATTAAGTTTACAATTTAATTTTTCTATGGAAAAAAAACGATCAAATGAAATCGAGGTTGATTTTGTGTTGTGAACACTTCTTCCAGACATAATGTCTGTGTGTTTTCAGTTTACTTGAGAATAATACGAAAAAAAATTTGAACATATAAGTCTCTACATATCACAAGTAAAAAAATTTTGTTTATAACAAAAATGAATCACAAAATAAATACCCTCGAACGTTCTTATCCATAGATTTTTTAAATTACAAAAATGATTATTTGAACATTTTTTATCTAATTATTATAAGAATGAAAAGAACGATTAATCATCGATCAGTATTTCTTCATATATATAACACGATTTACAAATACTTTATTTTTAAGTTTTTATTTATTCCAACTGCAACTACTTTTATAAGATCTATAAAACAAAAAACAGTTTTCTCGTTAACGCATAGATATGTATATATCATATGTTATTAAAGCCAATTCATTTTGGGAACAATAGCTTTTTCTTGATAGATTATAGCAAATTCATTTTGAATGCCTTTGACATTTTCCATAATTTGACTTAATGAAAAGAAAACATTACCAAGTGCTAGACGACTACTCATTGATCGAGTTATATCTATTTGACGAATAATTTCATTCAATGGCCAATCAGAAACGTTAGATAATGTTCGATAAAGTGCATTACCTGGATAAACATGACGACCTTTGACTGATTGTTCTACCCACCAATTAAGCAAAACAGGATAAGATTGTGCTGGTGGATCGATTTGCCAATAAAGTTGTGGTGTCATATAATCAACTAAACCTTGTTCTAACCACATTCGACTATCACAATATAAACTATCATATGATGAGAGACCAGTTATACCAGCTGGTACACCACTTTTCCATATTCCAAATGGTGAAACACCAAATTTAACTTTTGGTCGAATAGCATGTATTCGTGTATACATCAATTGAATCAAGTTATTGACATTTGAACGACGCCAATCACTTTTATTTAGATGACCACCATGTTTTTGATAGTCAGCATAGGTAGTAGCATCAGGAAATTCAGTACCATCACTATATGGATAAAAATAATCATCCATATGAATACCATCAACAGTATAACGACTAATGATATCTGTAGTTACATTAACAATAAATTCTTGAACTTCACCTGCACCAGGATCCATCCATATATTATTTGCATATGGATAAGCATATTGTGGAAATCTTTTAGCCATATTAGTAGGTGCTAATTCATAAGTTGCACCAGTCATACGAGCACGATATGGATTAAGCCATGCATGTACTTCAATATTTCGTTTATGTGCTTCTTCGATAATAAATGCTAATGGATCCCACAATGGTGATGGTGCAATACCTTGAGTACCAGTTAAATAAAAACTCCATGGTTCTAATGATGATGAATAAAAAGCATCACCAGCAGGACGAACCTATTTTTATGAAGAAAACTTTTAGCCATTAAAAAAATAAGAAGAATCTGTTTTCTTTTTGTATTATTACGTGAAAAATGACAACATTCATATTTAGAAGTTGAATAGTATTGAGAATATGAATCAACTCTGTTTGTTGCTGAGTAGGTGATGCTGTTTTAGACGATGGCCAATCGATATTATCAACTGTAGCTATCCAAACAGCACGAAATTCTTCGTTAATTGTGCCATTTAATGAAAAACAACATTTGATATTCGATGGATGTGATTCACATAAGTCTGACATATACAATGAATTTGGACATTGATTCTGATCAATGCATTGACCCAGACCAAGTCGTGGATGATTGTAAGTATCACATGTATCTGTTTTAACTTGAGACAACAAAAGACTTAATATAAAACAAAAGACGATCGTTATTAAAGTCGAAATCATTTTGCCATAAAACAAGAATATGTGAAAGAATACTACGAAGACGCGTATGCTTTCATATATATCAAAAGATAACATCTGTATATGTTCTCAAAAATATTTTATCATCAACAATTACTTCTTTTCATAATCATATCTATTACCCTTTATTGGGGTGTAAGTGTGGGTTTGAATGTGTTGTGAGAGCATCATTAACCAAGACCAATACCTTCATCTACTTCAAATCCTTTTTTTATCTTAATTCCAACATCGGGATTTCATCCCGTAAGGTCATGATAATAAAAAATTTTCTATGCAACTCTTAATGTATTTCACTCCTTTTTTTTTGTTTCTTCAAAGAAGAATATTATACATGTTCATGCATGCATCACAACTGATTGATATTCCAACGCCCTCTTTTGGAGCATACAGCAAGTCTAACCAAGAGAGAAATGACTGATTTTACGATTTCTTTTTTGACTTTAAAATCATTCATTTTGTATCAACTTTGGTTCTTTATCAGAATGTTCTTGTAAACTTTGACATTGTACAGATTTATTAAAGATTATCCATAAAGAACGTCCGTCGAATAATCGCCTTTTCTGATCCTCTTCCGATCCAAAAAAGTTCGATTTTCGCCGACCTTCATTCTCCTCTTGTTTTTTAGAAAGTCTGTTTGTTCGAACATAGTGTTTTTTTATTTCTATTAAATAATAGCATATTTTTTAAATCTATTCAAAGAAAAAATGAAATAGATCTGCAGATCCAACGCTTTTCCATCAGACACTCTGTCACAGACCAAAATGAATAAGAAAATCTTCATTCATTGAATTTTTAATCAATTCAATTCGACTGGACCAAAGATTATACTTTATTTGATTCGATTTGATTATTGACTTAAATTGTGACCAGAAAAAAAGTATCTAAATTTTCGAATATTACCTGCCACTTTTAATAGATTTTTCTACGAAACTCTCTTATCATTCTTTTTTTATTGTTAAAAAGCAGAAAGTTCAGTTATTAGACATCACTTGAAAGATCGATGGTTCATCTACATTGATAAAGTCTCCACAAACTATTTTGAACGAAAAATAGTTGTCATGAAAATTAGCCAAAAATTTTATAATTACAGAACAAAGATTTCATAAGCACAAGATGTTACTTTATATAAATAAGTTAAAGATATGAAAATTATAGAAGATATTAAAATCACTCAGTGATTCCATAGAGCATTATTGAAAGAGATACGTCTCTTTGATGTGTACATAATATTATAAATTACAATTACTTTTTACTGATAGAATTATTAGACTAATAGGTTCTAATAAATAAAAATGCGGTTGTCGAACACACGCCTATGGATGTGCTAGTATTTCTGTATTTACATCCAACAAGTGCTGACATTTTGCATGTTTGTGTCAAATACGCGCGTTTTCTTACGTTGTGTCTTTGACTGAATATTTGTTAGAATAAATAATAGAATGTTTTTATAAAATTTCAGACTTCTAAATCTTGTACTTTCTTGTAGTCTGTCATTT